GCTGAAGCCAGCGAGCGCCCAGCCGACACAAGGGCGAGGAAGCGGTGACGACGGTAACATCGGCTGTGGGACCGCGGCAGGTAGCGAAGATTCGGCTACAACACAGGAAAAGAGAGTCAGCGGACCCAGCAGCGCCGACTTAGTCCTCACAGATAAGCGCGACGGACATTCTTTCCATAGCAATGGCAAGGTATCGGCCTCGGCACCAGAGAACCCGGAGATCTCAGGATCCCGCGCATCTACGCAAGCCCAGATGGAGCAGGCAGCGAGCGAAAGGCTCACTGTAGCTAATGGAGCTTGTGATTTGGGCGGCGAGTCTTCGGTGACTGCCGCGGTCGCAAAGGAACGCCACACCGTAAGCCGTGAAAAAGAATACGTGCCGGAGGACGAGTCAAGGTGGTGGCTCACCGTGCAGATCGGGACTTTCCGAATTCGTGCCCTATACGATTCAGGAGCCTCCTGCACGTCGATAGGAGCGTTAGGTCTGTTGATTGCCGCTGAACTCGGACTTAAATTGGAAGTAACCAAGGCTGGGTCGTGCAGGTTGCCGGACGGCCGGTCAGTGCCCGTGATAGGCCATCTAGCGATGCCTTTCACAACCGGAGGCGTGACCATTGATGTACGCGTCTCTATAATCCCAGAGCTCGCAGATCAATGTTATGTAGGGGTCAACTTCATGAAAAAGTTCAAGGCAGTGACTGACCATACTAATATAGCATTTTTCTGCGAGACGATAACGTAACGGTACCAATGGAGATGGCTGGCTTAAAGGGACCCGCCGAAATGGCCTCGATCGGTATCGCTGACACGACAGAAGAGCAGCGTGCGGAGATAGAAAGTTTGGTGAAAAGTATGCTGCCACCGCCCAGCAAACTTCTAGGGGCGGCGAGAGACGTCAAGCATGACATCAAGCTGACGTCCACCAGACCGATCAAGCAGAGATATTACCTGGTCTCACCCAAGATCGAGCAGGAAATGCACAAGCAGATCGCAGGTTGGTCAAGTCCAATCGTGATGGTACCGCGAGGCAACAAAGGAGAATACCGAATGTGCACGCAATTACGGAGCCAGATGCTTACCCAATTCCCTTTATGCAAGATATACTGAGGCGGCTGCGCAACGCCAAGTATATATCAACAGTGGATTTGAGCCTCGCCTACCACCAGATCCCGTTGAAAAAGGAATGTCGCCCGTATACAACCTTCACCGTACTGGGCTTGGGGCATTTTTAATACGTGAGCATGCCCTTCGGCCTTGCATATGCGGGGGCGACATTCCAACGCCCTTTTGCGTTCGCGTACCTAGACGACATCATCATCGTCTCTTCGTCATTTGAAGAGCACAAGCTCCACTTGGCGAAAGTTCTGAACCGCTTGATAGAGGCAGGGCTCACAGTGAGCTCTGACAAGAGCGTGTTCTGCAAGTCGGAGGTCCGATACCTCGTTAATCGCGACGGAATCAGGCCGGATCCAGAAAAAGTCCGGCCGATTGCAGAATACCCGAGGCCCAGCAATGTTCGGAAGCTCAGGCGCTTCATGGGCATGGCCTCGTGCTACCGGCGATTCATCGAAGACTTTGCCACGATCTCTGAGCCCCTCATCAAGCTGACCAGAAAGGCCGAACCATTCGTGTGGGGAACCGCACAGCAAGAGGCGTTCAAAACCATCAAGAACTTGATGATGTCAGCCCCAATCCTACAGCCACCAGACCCCAAGGGAGACTACGCGCTACACACGGACGCCAGTGACTCAGGACTCGGAGTCGTCCTGGTCCAGTCGGTTGGCGGTGAAGAGCGCGTGATTGAATTTGCGAGCCGCACCTTGTCGAAAGCAGAACGCAATTATTCGGTCTCGGAGCATGAGTGCCTAGCAGTGCTGTACGGAATTGAAAAATTCCGACACTACATAGAGGGCTACAAGTTCAAAGTGGTAACGGACCACAGCTCTCTGCGCTGGCTAAAACGCATGAGAAGCCACAGCCCACGGTCGCGAGAAAGCCACGAGGCCGGCCTAGAAAGACGGCACGCTTGGTACTTTGCACAACGACGCGGGTTATGCCGAATCCGAGCCGGGCCGTCGAAGCGAACAAGCGAAAGCCTGGGAGACCGCGAAAGGCTTAGCAGTCACCCCCGCGCCATTCGCAATCATTACCCCCATCAGGCATGATCATTCATTCACCTCATACCATCCATTGTCACCCTATTACAGATGGAAGACGCAGTCGTCGAAGTCGCCGCCTGGTTCTTCAACCACGCCCGACACGAGGACCTCGAGCGGCCGGAGAAAAGAACCCTCTTCGGCGCTCGCAAGACCTTCGAGCGGATGCGCGTCGAGGCCTTCGAGTTGGAGGGCGAAGAGAAGAGGGATGCGGAGTTCGCCCGCATCTTTGACCGGGTCGCGAACCAGATCCGGGAGGGCATCACGCAAGATACCGTGCTCCGCCGGCTCGATGACGCCCGAGCTCGACTCATCCTGCAGGTGCAACAGCTCCAGGAAGAGGGTGTAATCGCGCCGCCACGCCCAGGGCCGAAGCCAGGGCTCATCCTGGAAGAGGTTCGTGAGGTCCCGGAAGGCTGGCCGACCCGCGACGGGCACATAAGCCACCCGCCCCGCCGCCGAAGACGTCGACACACGCGTGGCTGTACGGGCGATACGCGCCCAAGGGCGTACCCACCGGAAGACCCGCCTCAAGTCCGGATCGCCCCGCGCCCAAAACCCAGGACGTCTCCTCGCAGGCCACCGAAGAGAAGAGGGACGCGACCACCCAGACCCCCCGCTCAACAGTGCACCGCGGAGTCCAGGTCAGGCCGTTCCGCTGGGCGGTGTCAACCCAGGCGACACCGACCCGGCTAGACCAAACGACTCAGGCCTACCCTGACCAGCAGGAGGTGGCCTCGCAGACCTGGCCATCCACGGGCGCGCCAGGAGCCGCGACGGGCCGAGAAGAGGTCCCGAGCCGAAGAAGTGCGCCCTTCGAGTGCGGCCGCAGGACACGGGACGTGGGCTGCAACCCGGGGCACATCCCGTGGTCTGCCCGCGTATATCCCCGCATCGACCGGCCGTACGAAAGCGTGGATTGGCCCACCTCCCCGTTGAGCGAACGGGCGAGCCGATCGAGTGAGGAGGGCTGGCCAAGCATCGGGCGAGCGCTGACCGAACTCGGAAACGCTTGGAAGTTCGTCATGAGCTTCCAACGCCAAGTCCTGACCAAGTCGGCGCAATTCTTAGAACTGCCCGGTGCGGTAGCCCTCCTTGGCCCGTGGCTGGAGAAGCTCGAGCGGTGGCAGCGTTACGAATTGGCGGCCCGGGCGATACAGCAGGGGCAGCCGCCGGTATTTACAGCGCCCCCTCCAGTATTGCCCTACCCGGAATTCCGCCGGGCGCCCAGCATCGAAGACCAGCGCCCCCAAGGGCCCAGGGCTGCTAGGCCCACAGCCCAGGCAACGCCCAACCAGGACGTCGAGGACGCGGCTACTCCCGAGACAGCCCATCACGGCCGCGTGAACGTGGACGCCAACTCCTCGGGGGGAAGCACGGTGACGATCAATATCAGTCAACGTCACGGGCGCTGGTCAGAACATCATCGCCAACAGAGCGCCCATTCCCTGGGGCAAAGAGAGCGAAGCCGCGTGAGGAGCGCGAGCCGGACTCCCAACCCCAACGTCGTCGACCCGGAGGGTCGCCGAGAGGGCCAATCGCGCCGAGACGCCGAGGGATGCTACATCTGCGGACACCCCGGCGTCTCCAAGTCATCGCGCTGCCCGAACTTCGCCCGCCACGGCGAATTCCGACGCGGCTGCAGCCATCGGCATCGCTGACAGTTGCCCACTGGGACAACTAAATAAAAAATTTGCATTTCATGTCACCGTCACATTTATTGCACTCCACCCCTCTCACCTCGCCAGTCCTCACCCTCGCACAATCATTCCGCGCTATGATCGTCGGAGATTACCTCGGATATCATCCGACTAGGAGGGGACTATAACGGCCGGGGCCGTTTTCGCGGAAAGTTGCCCGCGCGCGAAGCCGAGCACGGCCAAGCGGGCAAGCGAGCGCGAAGCAAAGCAGAGAGAGAGAGAGAGAGAGAGAGAGAGAGAGCGAGACTCGATGAGGCGTGTGCCGCGGCGGTAGAGTGGGGAGAAGAGACGATTTTCGGGCACTGATTCGGGCACTGACGATTTTCGGCACAACACCAGGAAGCGCCTAGCTCATCGGGGTGGCGGTAAGCCTCGCACCGAGCAGCGAAGATAAGTTTGTTAACAGGCCGCGAGAATAATTTGTTTATTTTCCGGGCCGTTACAATTTATTAACGCTTTCTTAATTTATCTAGCTTATTCAACAAAAAAAGTTATAAAACTCGGAGATATTTTCATTATTTGTGCTAAAACTATGCTTCTGATGAAAAAACATATGAGAGATTTTAAGAAGCTACAATTTTTATCTATGTAGAAATGTGTATTTTTCTCTATTTTGTAATTTAAAATATTTTATAATTTTCTTTCTCATGTTATAATTTTAAATATTATAATTATATAATTTTAAATATTAAAGCAAAGAGCCGATCTGAGCATGATAAAGAAGCAAGCGTCCTGTACCGTGGGATTTTTGTTTGTCTCTGGACATACAGGCCTTTTCCTTCTTTCCGCATAAAAGTATTTTCCTTATCTTATAACTGTACTAAAATCTAAATTACGCCTGCAATAAAAATTTTTAATTCTAGCCATGGTAAAAATTAATAATTTAAAGTAATTAAAATTATGGCCCGACATTATAGGCGAATTTTATGCCTACATCTTTTTGATAGATTAAGCAAATATAACTAGCTATTAATCAGTTTTATAGCTACGAACGGAACCGAATTTTTAAAACAATATAAATATTTATAAATTCTTTCGATTCATAAAATGAATTAGGAAAAATGGATATGTGAAGTAGAAAAATTAGGTTAATATTTATCAAAATTTTTTGAAATATTTTTTCATGTTTCATTTATCCTTACAGGTACTATATCATATGTTTGAAACATACAGTGAAATGGGTCCTCAAAGAATTTCGTACTATGATATTCTCGCTGGATTTGCCTCATTTCTTGTGGTAGCAATTGGAGGAACGATTATTGGAGTTATTTGGGGGTTTGCCACGAGTTTCATTACAAGATTTACAAATCAAGTCAGAGTTATTGAACCTATATTCATATTTGTTATGGCATACTTAGCTTATTTGAGTGCCGAACTTTTTCATATGTCGGGCATTTTAGCGTATGTATTATTAGACCTAATACAAAAGAATTTTATTTAAATATTCTTAAGAAAACCTATATTCAATATAAATATAACTTACATATGGTTTGCAGAATTACCAAATATTATAATCTGTATAGATAATAAGTATACACAAATAATTTTATATTTTCCAGTGGAATATCACAGTTTATCGTTTGGGCTCTCATCATTGTTTATTCGCTATTGCAGGCTGATAGTCTATGTATACGATACGAACTATTATGCTAATTTTCTCTGCTTGAGGTATGGCAAGCAGGATCATTGGTGAAGCCAAGAGCGGTTAACGATTGCTGCTAATAAAGAGAGATAGGGAACGTGCAATCCAGGGAGGCGAAAAGAGAGAGTTGACGAGAGAGAGAGAGAGAGAGAGAGAGTTTTAGGAAAAGTTTGTGCTAGACTATTGCATCGTGCGCGTTACCGATATTTGTTTCATTTCGACGATTGAGTTTTCGGGTTTCGGGCGAGGCCTCGTTGTGTTTTAAGTTTGTATGTTAGTTGATACTGATACATGCCTAGTGTGCGGGACGTGTTAGTTTGTTGTTTTTCTGTACTTCGTGGATAGATCACTCATAGCCAGTGTTGAACTTTAACAGCCGCTACCACGTGGCCAAAAGTTGTTACAGCACGGTCAGCAATCATGCAATAATTGCAGCAGCAGTATTGAGAGTGGCGAAAGCACAGACTGGTAACAGCAGTTGTAGCGACAGCATTGGTATCAGTAGTGGTAGCTATAGGAGGAACAGTAACCGCAAGGCAATCTTCGGGTCGGGAAGTTTAGTGCTCGTGTTTCTCTCTCTCTTCTTCTTTTATGCATGTTCAGGTGCTGCACTCACGTGTGTATGCAGAGTATTTCGGTAAACCCCTATATTGGTCGTAATAGTCGGTCGCGCATTCATTGGGCTAAGAGCGCCTTAATCTCACTTAATGCATTATTAGATTTTATATGCGCGCATTTTTTTGTTTATTTTTTATTTATCCTTTTTTCGTTGTTTTGATTTATAATTAAAATTTAATTTTTTATTTAATTTAGCGTCGCTGTATTCTTCCTATCACCAATTCTCATCCTATTATTCGCTCGTGTACGATTAGTATATAATCTGTGTATTTTTTTTGTATTATTTTGATGTATATTACTTTTTCTTCTTCTTTATTATTTTAAATAGTCTTGTTTCGTTTGCTGCTTTCTTTTTATTTTGTTTTTGTGTGTTTCATATAAGTTGTCCTTTTAAAGTAGTAAGTGTTACTATAGGATTGGATATCATACCCAGGTCAAGGTTGGTGGCACCACGCGCATCAAGCTATATTCAGTCCACTTAGGAAAACTTCTGCCATGTTTTATTTTTTTGCGTTTTTAGATTACTAATGTGATGTCGCTTGCTTGTTATAAAATGCTAAACACAAGACCGAATGAGGATTTCTACATCTGCCACCTGGGCGGCTAGTTCAAGCTGCAGCACTCGTGATCGCGCATATTGGGCATTATATCATTAATCTTAGCGGAGTATATAGTGGCTCAAGGGCTGAGTAAGGAGCAGGTAGCGAATGAGATGTCTATGTTGGATTTGAGTGGCTAGGGGAAAGTTAAACACTCTCTCCCAGTGGTTGGTCTATCAAAAAACATGAGAAGTGCTCATCATATCATCCTCGAGAAAGGTACTGCAGAGAATAGCATCAGTGAAAAGTGGCGGGGTCACTGGGAAAGAGACTGCAGGGATTTTCACCTCTATAGTTCTATATCAACGGTGTTATAACTGTACTTAAAATTTTTTCATTGGGTGTTAGCAGCACTGTAAGTTCTTGGCTATGAGTCAACGAACAGAGCTACACCAGCGGTTGTGACTTCCACGGCGCAGCCTTTTCCTGTCCCATCACAGCACATGTGTGAACCGAGATTGCTCTCCGCGACTTCAAGTGCCGTGAAGGGAGAGTTGCGGTTGGTATCCACAAGAGGCCCTGTCCTACCGATCTCGCCGTTTGAATCATCAAACAACATGTCTGCAGCAAAGCGAAGACCAAGGAGGAGACGCCGCCAAAGACGACGAAGTCGGGAAGTAACGAGCTCCTCAAAATGCATGTGTATTCAGCGAGAAAAGCTTCACCAGTGAAGACGAGAAAGCGTACCACCGACATTACCATTATCCCCGGTGCGAAAATGCATTGGCGAGCTCACGGGGCCAGCCCCACGAAGAGTTGCGCGGCCGTTTAAACAGTAGGTCCGCTGAAACTGAGACAGCATTCGGAGCCTAGAACAAATAGCCGCTGGGTTGGGAGTGAAGGGCTTCTTTCAAAACCTGAAATACTGTGTACGTATGTACAGTTTCCTAGATCATGACGTGCTCTCAGCCCTGGATGCGATCTTCTTTAATCACGTAGAAATCTGGCTATCTAATAACCTTGACGAATGGTACAACTTCCGTGAATTCATCTCAAAATTTCACCGGCAGTATAGTAGAACGTTGAATCGGGAGAAGCTCTACTGTAAGCTAAGCCACTGAATGCAAGATGAGGATCAGTTAAAGGTGAAACCTTACTGACTTTCAGACCATCGCGACCACCTCCTCCATCAAATACAAAACAGGAGCGGCTGGCGATAGCGGGGTTAAGTCCGGAATATAAGTGCTATCTCCGAGATAAGCTAGTTTGAGATTTCCACGATCTTCACTTTTACGGAGAGAAGTTGAAAAAGCATTATGATCGTAAGAGGAGGTGGCACCCTACTTTGGTAAAGGACATCTTGCTGGTAGAATGCCGCCTAGAGAGGGCGAAACAAAAAGATCCGCGTAGCAGTAAGTGTTGTGGTAGCTCAAGTAAGTCAGCAGAAAGTCAGCACGTTCAATTCGAAGAAGAAGAGGAGGAAGTGCACAAAGATTGCAGGCGTACCAGCGTTGGAGCACTCTTCGACCCGCGATTTATGGTCGAAGCCGTGCACGGCGAGCGCAATGACGCAGCCAGTATCAGCTCGATATTCCATACCAGGACAGATTCACATTGCGGTGGAAATACTTGGACAAGACCCTCTCTGCACGCGCCGGTGCAAACTGCATCGCAACGGCAGGGTTAGATAGGTACAGGTTCTGGCAGTGGCCAGATTAGATCCCTATTTTATGGCAGATGTTTTGATTGCGATGGAAAAAGCTACTGCTAGTTGAAGTATTTTTACCCTATCTGGAGTGAGAACATCCAGGTGCACGAAGCACTAGCGTATTTTTCTTTCTGCTGTAACAACGTGCGCTATTATGCCCTTGGATACTTGTTGGGAGTATGCAGCGTGAAAAAATTGATAGGCGCTCAACTGTACGTTCTGCACTTGCATCAACTTTGAGCCGAACCGCAGATGAATGAAAAACCGGCCGGTGGAGACGGTGGTCCAATGCTCTTCACGGTAATTCGCATTGGACTGTCGGAATGGAGCACAACGTTGAAGACAAAATGTTATATAGAACCAAAAAACTTCTAGATCTAATGACTCATAAGAAGTAGTGTTGGCAACTCTTTGCTCTGGGAAGACTTTGCAACCGTGAAATGCTCGTTGAAGATCATCGACAGGATACCTCGGTCGCAAGAAAACATTTAATCGCATAGCGCATTAATATTTCTGGTCAGATACATGGCATGTAGTCATATCTGGAATGACAGAAATACTAGATCATATAACGTATGCTTAAAGGCTTAATGAGCAAGCAGGTAGTTTAACGTTCGTGTGCAGTAACTGCCACAGATATAGTTGAATTACCCCAGAACAAGACTTGGTACAAGTGGCAGGTCATTTTTTAGGACTTGTTTTTAAAATCAGTGAAGTTTAAGTCGCTGACAGTCGCTAACGGCAAGATTCTAAGGTGTGCTCTAGAGGAATTAACATTGTACCGTTTCTCGAGTACTGGGTCATCGATAATGGCAAGATCTATTACGAGCAGAACTAAAAAGCATACTCATAGATTATGAAATTGAACATGTGCACTGTAAACTCTACCACTAGCAGATCAATTTTTTTAAGCTCGCGATCAAAACGTTGAACACAATAGTTTTTATCTTCATAGATCATGATCATCGCGACTGAAAAAAACATCTGCACGAGTTACACGGGCGTGCTAAATCCGGGTGTGATAATCCCCTTCTGGCACCGCTTACAGGCGTGTGTTGGGACTATGCGAGCTGTCCTCATAGACGGGGAAATTCAGTGAGTCGGATATACACGGGGACGAAACTTAAAAGAATATGTTAAAATTAAACTTAACTGAACAAAAGGGGAGATAGAGAGAGGTTGTCATATTGGCATGGAGAAGAAGGATAGCGGACCGAGGACACTACTGGCAAACGTAGCAGTAGATAAGAAAGCTAAGTTCTTAAATCTGCTTCAAGAGAGTCAAGTACCCTTTGAAGTTTAATCTTGAGAAGAATAACGTTCATAAAGAAATAAATGAGATCTTAAAAACTTCCGACAGGGCTCTTAGCAAATACATGAAAGTAAGAAGTGTCGGAGGACAATAGAGCATGGGTATATGTCGAGCATGCCAGACGTCACTCATCTTCAGGATTAGGCAATGGAAGCAAACGCTCGAAATACAGGAGAAGAGGAGGCGCCAACTCTGCTGATCCCACAGGCGATAAAAAAAGCGAAAAGAGAGACAAGTTGAAACAAGCCCGCCCTTCAAATGATGACTACAAAAGCTTAGGAACAGACTGCGGAATGTGCAACAATAACCAAAAAGGGGAAAAACAAGAATGCAGCCGAAGCAAGAGAAGACGACCCAGGCAAAAAAAGCCATCGAAGAAAGACCAAGGACGGGGAAGAGTAAAAACTACCTCACCCCATCACCGTCAAGATTAAGGAGATTGGTGAGAGTTTGTACGCAGAGATACTGCAAAGAGTGACGACAGCCCCAGGTCTCAAACCAATAGGCGAAAGAGTAACAAGAATCAGCCGCACTAAAGTAGGGGGATTGCTACTGGAATGGAGCCGCGTAGGTACAAGGGAC